CCATGTTGTAGCATGCATCAGTACCGCACTGTGTGGCCAGCGCATTCTGCCGATCCGCTCAGCAGCTGATGGACGCTTGGGTTGTTTCCACCACTTGGCTATGTGCTACACCTTTCCACCTATCTTCCTGTCTACAGGTGGGGTATAACATACCACAGTCTACACATGGAGATCAGAGGGCAGCTTGTGGGAGCCAGTTCTCTCTACCACCTGGGTCCTTCAGATACAGATCAAACTTAAGTCATCAGGTTTGGTAGCAAGCGTTTACCCTCTGAACCATCCCACCCTCTTTGGCTATTTGAATAAGGTTTATTTCCCTCAATTATATATGAAATTTGCTCATTAGTCACCGGTATATTTTATTCGTCTACATAAGTTGTGTGTGCATATGAGCATGTATGAACATGCGGTCCACATGCATGTGTACGGGTGTGCATGCAGGGCTTTGAGTGTCCTGTCTCAATCACTCTCCACCTTATTGCTTTGATGCAATAGTCTCCTCCAGAACTTAGCGCCCATGTGTTTTCCCGTGAGGCTGGAAGCCAGCAAGCCCCATGATCCGCCTGTCTGGACACGTGGGTGCTGGGAAACAGACTGGTCTTGCTATGTGAGCAGCAAGCACTCTGAGCCACTGAGCCGTTTCTCCGGCCCCACCAGTCCTTTCGTGAAGCTGTGTGTTGGCTGAGGATTTCCTCGTGTAGTCTGCACTCAGACTCCCAGCAGTCGTTGCTAATTCTTCCATTCCAAAGGTCCTTCCCAGGCTCAACCATTTCTCCCCATATCTTTATTATACTTTGTTTCTGAGGAAGGGTCTCCCTGAGTTGCCCAAGTTGGCGTAGAAATCACAACCCTCCTGTCTCAGCCTACTGAAGGCTAAGATTACAGCTATGCGCCTTGAAATTGCCTTTTTGTGGACAAAAGTTTGAATTCTGAATATTCTCTCTAGAGCGTGTGCTAAGGGTTGGCCCCTGTAGGGCAGGCAGAGAGTCTGGAGCCTGTTGAATGGTGCCCTGGAGAGTTGGGGTCCTGAGCCTCTCCTCTTTCCCTGTGCTCTCTGGCTCCCGGGGAAGTGTGGGACTCAGTTTCTACCCAGCTTCCACATGCTGTGCTGCCCGACCAAGTGGATCACAGATCAGGGTGCAGAGCCTCCAAGCCTGAGAGCCAAATGCCCCACCTCTCTTCACAAGCTGGCCTCAGGTATTTAGTAATAGTGACAGAAAGCTGACTGCACACAGTTTTAAGTGTTTACAATTCAGCAGGGCGCCTTTAATCCCCGCACTTGGGAGGCAGAAGCAGGTGGATCTCTGTGAGTTCAAGGCCAGCCTGGTCTACAGAGTGTATTCCTTGACAGCCAGGACACAGAGAAACCCAGTCTCGAAAAGCCAAAAACCAGACCCAAACAACTGTTTACATTTCAAATATAGACAGTAAAGAGCAAGATCAGGAAGCTGTGTGTGCCTGCAGCCAGGGTTTCACCTGCGACTCTGTGAGCTGCGACTGAGTAGAAGACATCCCTGCCTCCCTCACGCTTACCCCAGGTGTTCTTACCCAAGGCTATCCTCGCCATCTGCTCCCTTCCCTCCTCTTTTCCAGGGTTCTCTGTTCTTTTCTGTTCATTCAACTTCCGCTCCACTAGTCCATGTCAGCACGATTTAACCCTAAGCAAACCTCTGCATCCTCCATCCTTCCACTAGCCCCTCTAGATCAAGCCTGCCTTTTTCCAGCCAACCTCTGTGCTGTGATGAGCCCCATCTCTTGGCTTGTGCTCTTTCGGTCTGGTGGGAATCATAGGGGGACTTCCAGTTTCCTTCAGGGGGGCCCTGAGCTCTCCTGCTGGGGATAACTCACAAACAGGAAAAAGCGTCCATCTTCTTGAGGAAGCGAGTACTTAGCAGAGTACCTGGAACTCAGTCAGTACTCAAGCGAAGGTGATGTTGACTGGTCCCTTTCACCAGCAGCAAAGCAGCTGGTACCACAAGGGTAAGGACAAACAAGGCTAAAAGGTGACAATACCCTGTGGGTACTGTTAAGATTCAGCTGGGCCCTGCCCTAACATTAATTCATATTATGTAGAACAGTGGCTTTTCAGACTTGCCTTGCCCTGAAAGAGTTCATTTTGCAAGCAGTTCGGGCTCCGTTTTGAGGAGGGAGGATGATTATGTATCTTTCTGGCACAACTCATGAGATGCTGACTGGAAAAAAATCACACTCTGGGAGTAGAGAGGGGGCCACTGTATGACTCTAGTGGGCTGAAGTAGCACTGTTGGGCACCTGAGCATATTAAGACCGTGTTAGGAAAACCAGGAACTAGAATGTATTGGACACGTAAGAAAGAGGTGTAGCTCTTTCACTGGGGCGTGGTAACAGCCCCCTACTGGCCTGTCATCTGGCCACCTGATGTGAACAAAGAGCAGGCAGGCAGGCAGAGAACTCCCTGCTTCTCCCTGCAAGGGGCTTCAGCTCAGCCCCAGTCCCCACCCTCCACCCCCACAGCCCTACTCGGATTCTTCTGTATTGTTCATCCTTCTAGATCTGCTGTCCCCCAGAGACCTGTACCCATTAGTGACTCCGTGCCCAGTCCTGCCCTGTCTCCATCCGTCTACAGCTGGACTCAGCTTTACAGCTCAGCTCTGGCCTTGCAGCTGGAGGCTACAACAACAGCTGCAGGCCCTCCGCTCTCTGGAGACCGCCAGCTGGTTTGATATCTCAGCTCCACACAGTCAATATGGCTGGCTATCAGGTTCCCAGCTTTGGCATCTCGGGCCTCTCTGGAACTCCTTGCCTCTTTAACCCTTCTGTAACCATTCTATAAGCTATGTATATGCACATTTACTATGTGTATTATATAACCTGAACATTGATATTAATAATTAAGACAGGAACAAAAGCCTGTGTTTGCCTCTTTCAACACAATTCAGGAGGGTGTGGTGGGAGGGGTAGCTGACAAAGGGCTCCGCTGAAACTGCAGCCTTGTGATCAGATTGTGACTCAATACATTCTGACATTGTGGGAGGACACAATGTATCATTTATGTTTCTGACAGTGTGTGTTCATGACAGGGGATGCCAAAAAGTGGTTCCCTCTGCTACCTCCCATCTTGAGATTATCACCATTCTAGATGTTTCTCATAGAGTCCCCAGAGGGTCAATCTTCCTAACAGGTGCCATCGATGCTATCTATGCGGCCTCAGGGATGGGTACTCCGTGGCACCAGATGGCCACTTTCACAGACGTTGGGGTTCTTCTGAACAGTCTGCCTTTGCATGTGACTATCCCCTCCGCAACCTCTCCCCATTCCTCTGTTTATGGTGCTTTACATTCTGCAGACAGAGCCCACAGTATTTCAGGCTCCTGCAGGGGCTTGGTGGCTTGGGACCACACTCACACCAGTGTTTGCTCATGTCAGCTCTTCTGCAGTGCTTCCTGGTTTCTGGAGCTCAATCTTTGCTGCTTCTAAGTGGAGAAGACTCTAGGCTCAGAGGAACTGGACGCTGCTTTCAAACTTTCGCTGGGCTTTCCGGCTATTCTGTAAAGGAAGAGGGCAGAGGCACGACCCGAGTCAACACAGTAACTACACAACCACACAACCACTGGGTACAAAGTCTCCCTGAGAAAGCAAGTTCATGGTGCTTAGCTCCACTGGCGGGATGACCAAATATGAGTCTTTTCTATCTGTGGGCTCTGGAATTGATAGCATTTGGTTCCTCTGCAGGCTAGGGGCTGAGGAAGCAAACATATTTTCCTGGGGACTGGTGGACAAATCAGAAGTGAAGGAGTTCCATTTTGTTTATATCATGTGACCATCTTGGAAGAATTGCTTTTCCACAAAGGTGGCTATCCTGCCTGATCCACTGCTGGACAAGCTATTTGAGGCTGTGAATATGTCCACACCACCTAGCCCTGGCTGGTTCCCCAACTCCTTTACAATGTCCCCAGACCTCACCTGTGCAGGTACCCTCCAGTCTTCACAACTGGATGATGCAAAGGCCCTCCAAAGGTCAAGGTACCAGATGAATTCAGGATGGGCCCTTAGCGGCACCTTGGCTCCCAAGTCCTTTACCCTTTTTATGGTCACCAGCAGCCTCCTGCCTCCACACTCAAGATCCCATCAAAGCACTCCTTAACACCCTCTGCTGGCTCGTCAGCGTCTGCAAAGGTTTCCTAAGCTGATTGGAAACTTTCAGAATAGGATTTCACCACTCGGGGAATAAACCCGGCTGTTCCATGGAGCCTATTCTGAGGTTTTCTTGGAACTGAACACGGTCAGTCAGAGTGGTCAGGGCAGGTCATCTCTTTACCCAGGAGGCTGGCTCTCCCAAACCATCGCTTTCCTGCCTTTCTCCCTGGACTCCAAAAAGAGCCCTGGAGGGTTCGAGAAATCCTGCTACCTTTAGGACCTGGAGGATCCGAGTTGGGGGGGTCACCCTCTCCGCCCCCCAGCAAAGTCGACACCCGGAACTGCTCTAATAGGAACCAGCCGACTGAGCTCCGGGAGGGCTGCGGCCCGGGTGTAGGATTCCTCCAGACCTCAGTGGGACCTCAGAGGCGCACGCCCAGCTGAGAGCGTAGGGGGTGGGGTGGATGGGTGTGGGCGGGACAAATATGACCTTACCCATCTGGGTTTGCCCCCTACCCCCAAGGGCCGGGATCCAGCCCTCCCCTGCCCTACCCGGGTAGAATTCAGTGTGTGTTCGTGCTTTCCCAGGGAGGGCGGACTCGGGGCTCCCCAGCTTCCGCCCTTCATCGGGGTCCCCCAAGACTCCAGACACTTCGGTCTACCTCTTCCTCGCCCTGGGATCTGGGAACAGAGACAGCAGGAGTGGCAGGGAACAGAACCTAGCCTAGACAGCTGGGAGGGTCGCACGTGAAGTGAAGCACGTGGATGCGGTCCCCAAGAGGGGACCAGAGTAGCATCTCAGTTCTGTTCCCAAAGAATGACCAGGGCGTCTTGGGGTGGGGGTTGGCGCGCGGCCGAAGAAGTGGGAGGGGACAGGTTGGGGGGTGGTCTCTGAGGAGGAGCCAGGCTGGACTGTATTGTTCCGCTCTCAGCTTCTCCGGTTCTTCTGCCAGCTTCACACCCGGTGGGTGCACTCTAAGGCACAGGCGCCCCCCCTCCCCGCGCCCCGAGACAGTGCAGAGGAGGGGAGGTATTACCTGAAACTCTGCTTCGGAGTCGCGGTGGCGGAGGATACCGGTGGAGATTCAGAGTTCCTGTTCCCCGCCTCACCGCGAGCCTTTGCAGGAGCGGGGGGAGGAGGTCCCCCGCGATGGCCGCTGTCCGTCCGGGCCCCGCCAGGACCACGTGCGGACGCTGGAGCACCGCTCTCTAGCCGGCAACAGCGCCTCTTTGCCCCCGCCCGGCGATGGGGAGCAGCGGGTCGGCGTTGAGGGTCTGTGCGGACCACCGCGGGGGCATCAACTGGCTGAGTCTGAGCCCCGACGGGCAGCGCCTGCTGACGGGCAGCGAGGACGGCACGGCTCGTCTCTGGAGCACCGCCGATGGCCAATGCTGCGCACTCCTGCAAGGTAGACCGGCGCGCGTGCTTGCGACCCTTTCAGCTTCTTCATGCTCACCTGCCCGCTTCCCGGAACCTCACTCCTCCGGGCCTGCAGTCCCCTTCTGGAAGAGTGGAGCTCTAGCTCCTTCGCGTCGGGGAGCTCACCCAACCCTTGAGCTCTTGGTGGGGCGCCGTGAGAGTCCGAGGGTACTTGGGTGTGGGTGACTGAGGGGCGCGCATTCTAATGACTGTTTTGTCAACCACTTCCCTGCAATCCTTATCATGACTTTAATTTTTAACAAAACAAAAAGAAGTCGCGTCTCTACCCTAAAGAACATTTCCTGCAGCACTCCTTGACCTGGTGACCTTTGGCGGACATTTCCACTTGGGGGAACATTGTAACAATAGAGGTTGTTGAAGGTCCACGCTGCTGTGGGCTATCTTCACACCGTGACCGTAGCCCAGACCGATGTCACCTTGTTAGGGACTTGTCCAGGACTAAGGGACACCCTTGAGTTTTCAACTCCTTCTCCCCCAAGCCCTCTCTCCCAGCTCTTTTTGGCCTCATCTTAGGTGTGAGCAGAAGAAAGGGGAGGATTGATTCAAATTTCTGGGATATGGGGTCAAGTCAATCTTGCATATTTAAATGAGACAAGGAATATCTTGCACAGAAATGTATAATATGTCTTAGTTATTTATTTACCCATTGATTCATTCCGTTCACATTCTGGGCAGCCTTGTCCTGGGTGCTCCCCACACTGCTGTATGGAATCCCTCAGGCCTCTGTTGCCTCTGCAATAGCTCCTGCAGACTTGAGGCATGCTAAGCTTTTTGCTCAAGGTATGGTTCTTTATCTCCAGCTTTTCCACCATGATCTGCAAATGCCAGGTGGCCTGACTTAAGCCCTTCCAGCGAGATCAAATGTTAGCCTCAAGATTGCTTCATTCCTACACTACCAGTTTTATGTGAAAACAGTGTAAGGTAGTTAGTTCATGGCCCCAAAAGGAGGTGCTTTGGATTGACAGGTACTTGGGAGCTGGGGTGAAGTGGGGAATCGGCTACAAACTGGTCCACATTCCTCCCCACACAGCCAGTGCTCACTGACAGGCCCCACATAGGAGGAGAGCTGTTAGCCCAAGGAGAACATGTACTGCTTCCCAAAGAAAAGACTCTCTGGGGTTTTTAGGAGTGGAGGTTCGTAGGCCGGGTTCCAAGGATTCCCCAGAGGAGAGCCTTGGAATCGGCTTTTTGTTTGATTCTGGTTTCTTTTTCTTTCTTTCTTTCTCTCTCTCTCTCTCTCTCTTTCTTTCTTTGTTTCCTTTTTTTTTTTTTTCAAGATAGGGTTCTCTGTGTATCCCCGGCTATCCTGGAACTCACTCTGTAAACCAGAGTGGCCTCAAATTCAGAGATTTGCCAGAGTCTGTTGGAATTAAAGGTGTGTACTATACCACCACCTGGCTTTGCTTTTGATTTCTTTTTCTTTTCTTTTCTTTTTTCTTTCTTTCTTTTTCTTTCTCTTTTTTTCAAACAAGGTTTCTCTGTGTAGCTTTGGAGCTTGTCCTGGCACTTGCTCTGTAGACCAGGCTGTTCTCGAACTTAGAGATCTACCTGCCTCTGCCTTCCAAGTGGTAATTTTTTTTTCTTTTTTTTCTTTCTTTTTTTCTTTTTTTGGTTTTCGAGACAGGGTTTCTCTGTGTAACAGCTTTAGCTGTCCAGAAACTAGCTCTAGTAGGCCAGGCTGGCCTTGAACTCACAGAGATCTGCCTGCCTCTGCCTCCCATGCACTACCACTGCCCTGCTGATTTTGGTTTCTTAAGGCAAGGTTTAAGGTCACCCTCAAGTTTTAAAGTCACTGTCTTAGTTGGGGATATTGTTGCTGTAATGAAACAGCACAGTCAAAGTAAGTTGGGGAGGAAAGGGTTAATAAGGCTTCCATTTCTACAGTACTGCTCATCGAGGAAAGGAAGGGGTCAGGGCAGGAGCTCCAGCAGGGCAGGAGCCTGGAGGCAGGAGCTGATGCACAGGCCATGAAGGGTTCTGCTTACTGACTTGCTCTCCGTGGCTTGCTCAGCCTGCTTTCTTATAGAACCCAGGACCAGCAGCCCACAATGGGCTGGGCCCTCCCCCATTAACCACTGAGAAAATATCCTGTAGTCTTGCCTGCCGTCTGACCTTTTGGAGGCATTTTCTTGAGGGTCCCACCTCTCAGCTGACTTCAGCTAGTGTCAAATTGATGTAAAACTAGCCAGCACACACACCTTGTAACTTTGGATTCCAGATCCTGTGCCTCCACCTCCCAAATACCTGAAATTAGAGGCTCTGCAGGGTGCCAGGCTTAGAGTTTCCAGTTGCTGTTTGGTGGCTGTAGTGCGTGGTTAGCCCATGAAACGCTTATGCCTGGGACTCCAGTGGACTCCTGTTTGTCAAGGAGGCTTCTCCTCCCAAAGTCTAGGTTTCCAAGGCTGGTTCTGACCGAGTGGCTTGCCCCGGGGCAGCGCGGGAGTCCTGCCAAGTTTTCAGGGCCCATCCTTGCACTGAGCTCTGACAGACACCTTAGCACCCTTCACACCAGCTTTAGCGGCCCTCACAGCCGAGTGTCCCGTCAGTCTAACGCAGTCTAACTTACCTTTCCAGTGAGTGGGGAGCCACCCCACTGAAGGGCAAACTGTTGGAGATTCCTGGCCAAGGCAGTCCTTGTCAGGGTTAAGACTTTGAGTCTCTGTTTCTAAAGGTTAGCATTTCACAACTGTGCCAGGATAAAAGGGACAACGATATTTTTCCTACTATAAGATCCTGATTATGACTGAGCTTGCATGAGTCAATGTGGCTATTTGGTATCTTTCTGTTTATGCCCCCTCCTCCCAGAAAATGTAAGTTCTCCCCAGCCACTTTCTCCTGAGATATTAGTAGGACTGATATCACGCACCCCCCCCCTTTGTTTTTGGCACACATGAGTGCAAGTGTATGAACCTGCATATGGAGGCCAGAGATTCATCTTAGATGTTCCTTGGGAACTGTCTTCTTTGTGTGTGGGGTGGGGTGGGGTGGGAGGGAAGTGGTTAGGGGTTAGTCTGACCTGGATCTTAGCAAGTAGACTGGTAACTCTAAGGACTCTACCCTCTCCACCTCCCCAGCCCTAGAATTGCAAGCACAAATATATGTATCAGCATGCCTGGCTTTTCACATGAGTGTTGGGGCTCAAACCCAGGTCTCCAAGCTCATGCGGCGAGCCCTGGGCATCTTCGTAGCCTCCCCTGCACTCTTCTTTTTATTAGCTTTTTCAGTCAGTGTCTGTAGACATGAGGGCTTGCTGCTTGTTGGGGTTTCTGTCCTGCCCAGTTCCCACAGCCATTTAGCCCCAAAGAATCACACAAAAGTTTACATTAGATATAAACTGATTGCCCATTAGCTCAGGCTTCGTATTAGCTCTTATAATATATACCAGCCCATTATTCTAGTATATGTTAGCCACATGTCTCGGTACCTTTTTCGGTGGGGTAAGTCACATCTTGCTTCTTCTGTGCTCTGGGCAGGACTGGGGAAAGAGCTTCCTTCTTCCCAGAATACTTCTGTTCTCATTGCCCCACCTCGACTTTCTGTCTGGTTGTCCTGCCTATACTCCCTGCCTGGCTACTGGCCAATCAGCATTTATTTAAAGCATGATTGGCAGAATACAGAAATTCTCCTACACCAAGTGTCTCTTTGGGTGGAGTTTGTTTTTCGTTTGTTTGTTTGTTTGTTTTCTGAGACAGGGTTTCTCTGTGTAGCCCTGGCTATCCTGGAACTCACTCTGTAGACCAGGCTGGCTCTGAACACTCACAGAGATCCCCCTGCCTCTGCCTCCAGAGTACTGGGATTAAAGGTGTGCACTACCACTGCCTGGTTCACACCTTATATTTTAAGACATATTGTCTATATACTTTATTATGTGGTTCAGTTTCATAGACTTGGATCAACAGCAGGTTTTTCAATTAAAAGTTTTATTTCATGTGTATGGGTATTTTGCCTAAATGTATGTCTGTGTACCAACTGTGTGCCTGGTACCCAAGAAGGTCAGAAGAGGGCATCGAATACTCTGGAACTGGAGTTACAGATGGTTGTGAGCCACCATGTGGATTCTGGGAACAGAACCCATGACCTTTGGAAGAGAAGCTAGTGCTCACTGGATCCTGACCTGAGAAAACCGCCTGAGATGTCTGTGCTGCCCTGTTGGGTTCCCAGTTGAGTAAGGGACTTGACCCGAAGGTTCTAGCCTACTGTGGCTGCTCCACATCCTTCTCTGGCCTCAGCTTGCCCTGTGAGCCACTTGCTCGAGGAGGGAACTTGCCTGAGACAGGGCCCAAGCCAAGTTCACTGTTGGCCTTGAGAGGGTCAGGGAGAAAAGTGGCATGCTGGTAGGGGCTCACTGAGGGGATGAGGTACCCGTTGTTTTTTTTTTTTGTTGTTGTTGGTTTTTTTTTTTTGTTTTTTGAGACAGGGTTTCTCTGTAGCTTTGGAGTCTGTCCTGGAACTAGCTCTGTAGACCAGGCTGGCCTTGAACTCACAGAAATCCGCCTGCCTCTGCCTCCCAAGTGCTGGGATTAAAGGCGTGTGCCACCACCGCCTGGCTGTTTTGTTTTTCTTGTGAGTTAACAAATCATACATTTAAATTTTATTTTTAGTTTTTTTTTAATCTTTAAATATGTGAATGTTTTGCCTGCATGCATGTCTATGTACCACATGTGTGCCTGATGCCACAAGAGGGGTCAGAACCCACGGGGCTAAGCCACAGATAGTTATGAACAGCCTTGTAGGTGCTGGGAACTGCACCCAGGCCCTTTAGAAGAGCAGCCAGTGCTCTTAACCGTTGAGCTGTCTATCCAGGCCCTTTCAAGGCATAGTGCTGGGAGGGCTGCTCCACACCGGCAAATTAATATTTGCTCAAAGAAATCCATGAAAATGTCATCTGTTTTAGGGACAGCACTTTGAAGGCCACTGTTGGTTGAGTGGTAGATTCCCTGTGGCCTCTTCAGGCTAAGGGGAAGGGTGGCAGGGTGGTGGGTGAGGCTGTGGGGAGGGCCATGGCTGGACCGGTGCTGAAGGAATAGGTCCAGGCTTAGATAGGTGGTAGCTGGGGACAGATGGGCCTGACTGCCACACAGAAATCCAGGAAGCCCTGATGTGACTGATCCTCAGTTCTGAGTGACAGCCTGCAGATAGTCCTGGGGCTTTGGACAGTGTCCACTCTGGCACATCTGGGGACCAAATGTCACCTGTCGGGGTCCTGGCGCCCTCTACAGAGGGCAATTCATAAGCATCTAAGAAAGCAACACTACAAAGCGGACGGAATACACATACGAAGTAGAGCCCTTGGGTCATCGCTTCTCTCAGGGGAGCTGTAGTTACAACAGCCTGGAGGCAGTTGTGGAGAAGGCTCCTCTGGGCAAGGGGACCTTGATTTGAGAGGGTCACAGCCAGCCTAAAGCAGCCCCTGGGTCAGAGTCCAGGGTTACATTTTAGACTAAAGTTGCCCACTGTGTGAAAGTTCCTGGAAGTCAGAGGACCAGGGGCCACCCAGCAAGTCTCCCTTTCTTCACAATTTATAATACCTGCTTGCACTCCGAGGGTAGGAGAAGGAAGTGTTACTAAGTAGTGCCATTTCTATCAGCAAGTGACAGTTGGGGTGGCCGGCTGCTTTATTGCATGACCCTGGGGCACGAAAAGGGAAAAGATGCTTCGTTTTCTACTGTGTCCGAGGCTTGTTGTGGTTGGGGTCCCCTGCAGCCCTGGGTCCTGAGCCACTTTTCCTGTGTGCAGAGGAAACAGCAGATCCTGGCAAGCCTTCAGTGCCCAGGGAGGCTGCCTTAGCAGGAGTCCCCAGGGCTGCTCTTCTGCATGCAATAACTATGTCTTATCTGCATTCTTTATCCCTTCAAAAATATTTACTTTCAGCTTGGCGTTTTTGCTTATTCTGCACAATTCCAGCAGCTGAAAGCTGAGGTCCCAGGAGGTGATAGGCCCAGAGCTGGCAGACACAGCTCCTCCCACCCTCTGTGGTGACCCCAGCAGCCCTGGGTCTGACCTGTCTGTCTCTGGATGGCACTGATTACAGTGTACTGGGATGGGGTGTGGATTTGGGGGACGGACAAGAGACAGGCACAACAGGGTTTAGGCCCTCTGCTGAAAGGCTCTGACCCATGACCCAAGTGGGTGTGTCCGCTGATTGGGGAGTGAGTTACAGGAGACTGGAGAGGGGCCTGCCTGTAGGGGCCTGAGTGGGATCCTCACTTGGCTCAGTGCCTGGCTGCAGAGGGCGGAGGGCAGGGGCCGGCAGGTCAGCCTGGCCTGGAGTAAGAGATGAGGATGTTTCACGTTGAAAACTGTTGCTTTCATTTAGTGCCTCTTTTCTTTTCCGTCTGTGTGTTCAGTCCCTCTGTCCCTAACATGCCATAAAGCTGCCCACACCTCGGGTCCTCAACAACCAGGCTCCGTCCGAAGTTCCACAGAATCAGGGTGCCATTATTCAGTAGCTAGCTACACATGGCTCTCAAGTGCCTTTTCATGGCTCAGCTTATGGTTCACCCCTGCACTTGACCCGTTGTGTAGGCGGAATGTCAGCGGCTGGGTGCTGCCGGAGCAGTTGCTCTGGGCCTCTGCCAACCTTGGCTCAAGGCCCTTAGGGGCCACGGTGGTGATGCCCATCCAGAGTTATTAGGGGGCCATGGGAGGTAACTCCCATGCAAAGTCATTAGGGAGGCCTGTACCCAGTAGGCCTGGAACACCTTGGTTGCCTTTCTTGGGGTACCGCAGCTCCCAAGAGGCACTGGGGAGAGTGAGGCAGACTGGTCTCAGGGAAAGTTTGTTGACAACTTTGAGAAATATTTATAAACTCTGGCAAAAGTCTGGGCTGTGTTTTGCCAAACAGATCTGCCCTCAGCTTTTTCATCAACTTGTGTCTTGGGGGAAACACAATCTGCCGTTTCTTAAGGGTTTACTTAATCTTCCCATTGTTTCCAGAGCAGCCTGGCACGCACTCTCCCTCTCAAAATTCTGTTTCTTAGAACCCAGGAAGTCAAGTTCTTCCAAGTTAAGCTTAACCCAGGACCTAAAAAAAAAATTAGTCCTCCTGATCCTTCCTGGGAGATTGCTAAAATTCTTGTTTGCTTGGCTCCAGCTATGAAATGGAGATTCTCAAGTGAGATGAAAGACCTGGGTGTGGTGGCCCAAACTCTTAATCCCAATGGTGGGAGGTAGACTCAGCAGAGTCAGGAGTTCAAGGCCAGCCTGGGCTGTGTGAAAAAAGTCTCAAAATAAAGGGGGAGAGGGTCCCTGGGGAGATGGCTCAGTGAGCCAGAGTGCTTGCTGCTCAGGCATGAGGGCCTGAATTCAGATTCCTTGGAACATGTTTAAAAAGCTGTGTTTTTTTTTTTCCTGCAAACCCAGTGCTATGGAAGACAGGGACAGGAGGATCACTGGAGCTTGTCCTCAGCCTAGCTCCAGGTTCAGTAAGAGACTCTCAAGGGAACACACGGAAAGTGTCAGAGCAGGCCAGACAATTCTTCTCCACGTGTCCACTTGCACACACACGTGTATATATTTGTTCCCTGCGCGTGTGTGACGCATACACACACAAACACAGGTTTAAAAATCACAAAAGGACCAGTCTCACTGGACATGTGATTTTTACTTCCGGGACCTGAGCACCCTGAAGGCTGAGGTAGAAGGGTTGTGAGTTCAAGCCTAGCCTGGGCTACAAAGTAAGATCCCAGTCTGTAGGCCCGAGGGGAGGGCAGGTCTCTTCCAGACTTGCTGCAGAAGGTTCATGCTGTCACTGATCTGTTTGCACACACAGGAAAACAAGAGCTGGAGCCTGGCCAGCTCACATTTCCTCTCCTTGTAGGTCACGAGAGCTATGTGACCTTCTGCCAGCTGGAGGACGAGGCCGCCTTCACCTGCAGTGCTGACTGCACCATCCGGAGGTGGGACGTTAGGACCGGGCAGTGTCTACAGGTGTACCGAGGGCACACATCCATCGTGAACAGGTCAGCCAAGCCTGGGGGCGTGGGGCAAGAAGACAAAAAGGTAGGACTGATTTTGAGCAGTGTAGCTGGCTGCCTGTGGGAGCAGGGGTTTGGGCAGAGGAGCCACGGGAGCGAGGCGTTATTAATGTATGTTCATTTGTGCTCCTGGGAGCCACGCACCCTGACTGGCCCTCTGTGGGGAGGTCTTGGGGCTGTAGCGCCCACTGGGAGCAAATTCCAGAGGAGATGCTCACGTGACTCCAGTGGTAGAGCAGGGGCTCAGAGAAGGAGGAAGCCGGTGGTATTTTTAAAAACTTCCTTTCGTGTGGCTGCAGAAGGTCTCCCAGCCTTCTTTAGGATCTGAATGTTTCCCTTGTTGAATTTAGGTTGGATCTGAGCAGTGGAAATTTGTTTGCTGACCGGATCAACTCGATGTTATTTTTATGACACGCGATAGTTGCCCTGGGCTCCCAAGTTCCAAGTGGATGCCTAGCGTAGGGACTCTTGAAGTCACATTGATAGGAGGAGCCTTTCTGTGTGGATGTGGAGGAGAGAATGTGCTGCAGCCAGGCGACCCTGAGTGCTGTGTGGGCCTCCAGACAGGCAGATTAGCCACTCGAGCTCACAGAAACTCCAGAGGCCACGTCGGATGCTGGGTCAACAGTCTGGAGGTGTCTACAGGAGATGGTTGATCTAGGAGAACTCGGCTCTCACAGTTCGACTGGCCTTGCCCCAGCGAGATGTCTACTATTGGCTGGGCATGGTAACTTGTGTGTCTTGTCCCAGAACTTGGGAAACTGAGGTAGTGCAGTATCCATGACTTCAAGGCCAGCCTGGGCTACAGAATGAGCTCCAGATCAGCCTGGCTTACAGGAGACCCTGTCTCAGAATCCCCCACCCCTACACAAAAACAGAAGCTGAGGGACCAACCAGAAGCCAACGTAGGTGGGCGAGAGTTCATGCCCTCAGATACCAGCTTGTTCTCAGGTTACCGACCAAGGAACTGTCACAAGTTTCTCTAAACAAGGCGGAAACTACGCTGTACGCAGTTGAGTACCCATGCCCACATATACATAACACTACAGCACATGGATACACGCATACATACAGCATCTATGTAACATGCACATGTATGAACAAGACATTCACATAAACACACATATACACAACCACACACATAACTGAGATGCATCAAGCACATATACATAGAAATGTCCACATGAATGCATGATATATGTCCGATCCACATTCACAGTCAGAACACACACAAACACACACACAGGTACATACGCTGATGGTTGTGTTCCCAAATGAGCGAGAGCCTGGAACTCACGTCTGTTTTTAGAGCTAGGCTATGTGTGTGAGCTCCATGCAAACCATCCTTTGACATCCCTATTGTACATCGTGCTACGTCTGCCCAGGGCCACTTAACACCTGGGCTAGTTTCTTTCTCATTGCTTTGGCACTCCCCCCTCCCCCGAGGAGAAGCAACTTACGGAATAAAGGGAGCCAGTCTACCATGGCAGGAAGGCATGGCAGCAGGAGGCAGCTGGGCACATCGCACCCTCAGTCAGAGCAGAAGGGGAAAAGCTGGTGCTCGGCTCACTTTCTCCTTTTGATTCATCCGAGGACCACGGTCCATGGGATGATGTCACCTACTTAGGATGGAATTTCCCACTTCAGTTAACCTAATCTTCAAAGTCACAGATGTACCAGAGGCTCATTTCCATGGCGATACTAAATCTCACCAAATTGACATGATTTACCATGTTAATTAACCATGAGAACCCCAGTGCCTTCAGAGCCCCACCATGAGGGGCCGCTCCCCCAAGAACATCATAGGTGCTTGTCAAGGGGGTTCTTTGACTCTCAACAGATCAGGAACTTGCTTTGTAGACCAGGCTAGCCTCAAACTCAGACATCCACCTGCCTCTGTCTTCTGAGTGCTGGGATCACAGTAGCGATGCCAAAGGGCGGTCTGCATGAAGCTCACACACACTGCATGTCACACGTGCTGAGTCAAGAATTCCCAACAAGAATGCAATGTGTAATAGGCCCTTGGAAGGTCTGTACAAAGTTCTCTGAAGACAAACGTGTTTTCCTGTGAGGTGGCAGCATTTAGCGGTGTGAGAGTAGTTAGTCCTCATTTAAGTTCCCTCACACCCAATGGCAAGCCAGTCTGCTGCATGAATGACCCTTCTGATACCTCACCCCAGAGTTCCCTGCCCCTGCTAGTCACGTGACTGGAGTCTGGTCTGTGCCCTGGGACTCCAGGACTTCTCCTGTGGGACGTGCTGGCAGAGCAGACAGCAGAGGCCCACCCCACACTGCAGCTTGCCTCTTGCACTTCTGAGCACAGTCTGGTGCCACAGTGGCAGAAGGGTTTCTAAATTTCTTGCAGCCCTCAAGGTAGGTACTCTGGAGTGGCCTTACCAGCCTGCTTGATGCTTCTGAACTGTTCCCAAGGTGACCAGATGGTCTCAGGTCGCCCTAGACTTTCCCCATTGTTTTTGTTTATTTTGCTTTATGAAGCAAGGTCTCACTCTATAGTCTGGGCTTGCCTCAAACTCACCATGCAACCCAGGTTGGCTTTGAACTCAAGGCAATCCTTCTGAATGGCTTTTTCCTATTATAAACAGAAAGCTTCATGTCCCCTCTTCCTCTGATGTGTCTGGCTTGAATAGACTGTTATGTGAATCCATGCACCAGAGACACGATCCCTGCTGGGGTAAAGGTCAGGCTTGCAGGTCTGTCACCGGAGAGACCTGAGAATGAAAGAGTGCCTGAGGGGCAGACATGGTGGATGTGTGGTGTTTAGGGCCAGACCTTGGAAAGCAAGTGTGGAGCAGGGCAGAGACTGGATGCTGTGTCAGCTGCAGGGCCAAGGCTAGGTGAATTCTTTCGACCCTAAGTGTTCTGAGCCTGACCCCTTCCCCTCTCACCCACAGGATCCTTGTTGCAAATGACCAGCTTTTCAGCAGTTCCTATGACCGGACAGCACGGGCGTGGACTGTGGACAAAGAGCAAGTGTCCAAGGAGTTCCGGGGCCACCGCAACTGTGTGCTAACACTAGCCTACTCTGCCCCCAAGGACCTGCCCAGTGATTCCTGCTTGGAGGCAGCCATGGGTGGCGGGCTCCTAGTGACTGGCAGCACGGATGACACAGCCAAGGTGTGGCAGGTGGCCAGTGGCTGCTGCCACCAGACCCTTCGGGGCCACACAGGTGCAGTGCTGTGCCTGGTGCTGGATGTTTCCAGTCACACGGCCTTCACAGGCAGCACAGATGCCACCGTCCGTGCTTGGGACATCCTGAGTGGGGAGCAGCTGCGGGTTTTCCGAGAACACCAGGGCTCTGTCATCTGTCTGGAGGTAAGACCTCTCTAGATGCTGCCAGACTGCATGACCTACTGTAGGAGGAAGGGAACAGGAGGGCCTTACAGCTTCAAACCATTCATAGCACTAAAGCTATTGGTAGCTGTAGTTCCTAGTGCCAATCTGTTCAGAGCATCAGCCCACCCATTCATAGCATCATCAGCCCAGTCGTTCATAGTATCAGCCCACCTGTTCACAGCATCATGAGTCCTTTAATTCTTTCACAGGTGGAGTTGGTAGAGTTTTCATGGTCTAAACACCTTTTTGTTGTTGTTGTTGGTTTTTTCTGTTTTTGTTTTTTGAGACAGGGTTTTTCTACATAGACCTGGCTGTCCTGGGACTCACTCTGTAGGCTAGGCTGACCTTGAACTCAGAGCTTCCTCTGCTTCTGCTTCCTGAGTGCACATACCACCACACCCAGCTCACTAAATACCTGTTATTAGGCATCCCCAACCCTACACTCATTAATTTATTTATTATTTGTTTATTTTGAGACAGGGTTTCACTGGCTACCCTGGAACTCTGTGTAGACCAGGCTGACCTTGAAGTCACAGTGATCCACCAGCCTCTGTCTCAAGAGTGCTGGGATTAAAGGTGTGCGCCACCACGCCCAGCCCTGGCTCACCCCACACTCTTGCACTGGGGAAAGCGTCCAGTGTATGCTTTGTGGGAGATACATTCAGAACTCAGCAGTGGAAAGGTTGGTAGGAAAATGGGCACCAAGTCGACTAAAGAAGAGTCTGGAAAACTATCCAGACAAAGGGGAGGTGGTGCCACAGAAGTGACCTGATAGAGAAAGGGACTTTCAGCAGCCTGTCTGAACTAAGTGGGATTGAGAATCCCTGGAATGCTGGTGACATGGAAGGAAGCCAGGAGGGAAGCTGAAGGCCGTTTGGGCTACAGAGTGAAATCCTTTCTGAAACAGGCAGGGCTGGGGAGATGGCTCAGGGGTTTGCTGCACCAGCTGAGGACCTGAGCTCATCCTGGAACCATGTAGAAAAGCTGCGTGTGGGGGCATGTGTGGACATGTACCTGTAATCCCAGCTCTGGAGAGGCAGAGGCAGGTGGATCCCCATGACTTGTTGTCCAATCAGCCTAACTAATTAGTGAACTCAGGATGCCTGAGGGTCAGCAGAGGTTGACCACCGCTCGCTCTCTCTCTCTCTCTCTACACACACACACACACACACACACACACACACACACACACGTGAATTCACATATATACACACATAAAAATAAACATCGACAAGAACCCCTAAGGCCTGACCTATGTCTGTGTATTTTCTGAGCTGAGTTCCTGTCTCTGGTGGTAAAACCTTTTTCTTCTAGAGACAGAACTTTCTCAGCTTTTAGGAGAGCAAGGAAGGCCTGCACACACGGCCTCTGCCGCAGTGTTTGGGGTTGTAGATCCTATCAGCCTTCATAGTCTTGGGCACCAGTTCTCTCACCTAACAGATGCCACTGGTGACAACAGCCTTCCAGGTCTCTCAGGGGCTGAGTATGGAGGTGACTTGACCCTCACCTGGAGCATGACTCAGTGTGTCCCCACTTAGCAGGAGTCCTGGGGGGCATGCTGTGGGTGAGGGTAGTGTGTGGGCAGAGGGATTCTGTTTACGCCTGGGCACTGAGCTTGCCAGTTAGTGACGAGGCTTCCCCAGGTCCTCTGACTCTCCAGAGGCTCTGCTACCTCTCCTGAGCACCTTCAGCTGTGGAGGAGGAGCACGGGTGGAGAGGCTCTGTCTGAGTGTGCAGCTCTTCCTGGGGTCTGCAGGGTTGGATGGGAACTAGGGGTCTCTGTCTGCATCTGAGGGGGTAGTGTCTGGAATCTGCAGGGCTTCATCTAAGATCTACAGGGCTATGTCTGGCATCTGTAGGGTTCTGTCTGGGGTCTGTTGGGCTTTCTAGGGCCTCTGAGCCCAGGTTTACTGGGGAAAGAGGAGCCGGCACTGACTGGTGCTGCAGTAGGTGGTGGGGAGTACCTTCCGGAGTCACCCTACTTTTCCCCACTGAGACCTGCCAATGTTTCCTACCTTGTAGATAATGATTTGAGGGCTACCTGGCCACCAAGGTCAACGGATTGGCCCTTCTGCTTTTCCTACAGCTCACAGACCGGCTCTTATACACGGGCAGTGCAGACAGGACTGTCAAGTGCTGGCTGGCTGACACTGGGGAGAGGGTGCGCACGTTTCCTGCACACAGACACAGCGTGAGCGCCCTCAAGTACCATGCCGGCACGTGTAAGTGACCTGTCCCGGCACTGTCCACGCCACTCCAGTCTGCCCACCCTACCTTCCTCTCTTGACTCCCATGCCTGCATAGTTTGCTGTACCTGAGCCCAGCTGCCTTTCCACTTTAGAGGGGGCTGAAGGTGAATGGCTCATTGGGTAGGGAGGAAGCTGTCACCTAGGTCTCAAATGGTCACACATCTGGGCCTTCATCATATTCTCAGCTTCACTGATGCCTGTCCATCAAAAGCCCCTAACAGAAGCAGATGTTAGACTCCCATAAGGGCTGGGACTATGAGTATCTTCCCAGTGGAAATGCCCTAGGAGTTAGCCTGACGTGGAGAAGTTATTTTTCCTTCCTACCATATCCACGCCTTAGTGTGGACATAGCTCTGCTCCCTAGTCAGGGAGCTCTCTCTTAACTGAGCACAAAGTAGTTAGCCCCCAGACACTGCCAGCTGGCCTCCCCTTGGTGGCAAGTGGCAGAGCTGTGCTGAAGTCACACTCCACAGGCCCCTCTCACTATGACACATCTTGGTTCTTTGCCAACAAGGCTACTACTGAATGTGCTTTACTCCCGACCCTGTCTACTCTCAAGATGCCCAGCAACCCCACAGGGGCTGGACCCTGCTGCTGAGTTTGGGGAGAGGCAAGGAAGGAACTGAGGAAACCCAGCAAGGAAACTCCCTCCCCGGGGAGTACACCCTCAAGCTTTAAGAAAAGAGCAAGTATGTACAGACCAAAGCAGGAAAGTGTAAGAAATAGATACCAAAGAAACAGCAGCCTAGAGGGGCCGGCTTAGCCAGCCCAGAATGGCTAATACAGGGTAGCCTTGGGCTCTCTCCCGTTGTCACAGTCAGACAAGAAGCAACACAGGGAAGAAGGGGTTTGTCTTACAAATCCTGGTTGCAGGGAGGCCATAGCAGCCGGGGCTGAGTCAGATGCTCAGCACGCGGAGAAGTGAGTGCTCCCGCGCTGCCTGCTTCCCTCAGCTCACTCTCCTCACTCCTGCAGTTCAGGGCCCAGCTCATGAAGCACCTCCCACATTCGGGGTCTTTCTACCTTAAGTCACAACCAGGATGTGACTCAGGCTACCCTGACCTAGATAATTCTGCACTGAGGAGACTCTTCCCTGCAGTGAGTCTAAGTTGTGCCAAGCTGTCAGCTGCTGGGAACTGATACCCAGGAGCACCCTCTCACTACGAGTATTGAAGGGTGTGTGGGCCAGCATCCTTACCTCGTAGCTGGACCTACAGTTACCCCACCCCCACCTGAGCCACTCTGCTCACTAACAGGCCCTGTGTGGTTTCGTCCCTATCACCTCCATGCTTCCTGCACTGTCTACCATGTGAACTGCTGGCCTCCTGGTTGGGGGGGGGGGTAGCTTCTAGGGAAGTCAGCGTAGGATGGTAAGTGAACCACCAAATTCCCATAGTTTCCCCATCATTGCAGCAGGAACTGGGATGACAATTAGCTATCTCTCAGCAGGTATTCCAGACCATGGTGCCCTTGATGCCAGTGTACCAAGTTATGATAGAGGAAGACCCCAAGGAGGGACAGATGGGGGTCTAGGCTCTGCTTCAAGGCCACATTCCTGAGGAGGGTGGATGGGCTGGCCCTGGGGACAGGTGACAGATGAGCAGGGCAGAGCCTGCAGAACGTGGTGTCCTCAGGACAGCACAGGCCGACTGAAGTCAAGGAAGGCATGGCAGCCCAACTATGCAAAGGCATCTTCACAGCAAAGGTGTCCCGGAGCCTTCAGTGTCCTCCCTGACTTTACGGAACTGAGAGCCCAGCTTCCCTTCAGAAGGCTTCCAGATATTTCCCATTTGACCCTTAGGATGTCTCTGTGGGGCAGGTGGAGGTCCCATTCCTGGGGAGGTGGCAGCCAGGAAGGGCCCAGTGTCCTGCTGTGTGTCCACAGTGTTCACAGGCAGTGGGGATGCCTGCGCCCGGGCCTTCGATGCCCAGTCAGGAGTGCTGCAGAGGGTGTTCCGAGGCCACACCTTTGTCATCAACTGCCTCCAGGTAGGAGTCTTCCTGCCCAGCTCCGTACTGCCCCAGGGAAGCAAGGGGCTTCCCATGGGAGGAGACTCCAGGGGCCTGCTCATGGCTGACAGCTGTCCCGCCTGCCCACAGGTCCATGGTCAGGTGCTCTACACAGCATCTCATGACGGTGCTCTACGTCTCTGGGATGTACGTGGACTCCAGTCGGTACCACCTTCGCCACGCAGACCAGCAGCCAAGCGCAGCCTATCGCGCCTCTTTAGCAACAAGGTGGCCTGTGCAGCCCCAGTGCCCCTGCAGCCAGCCTGAGTACCTGGAGAGAGGTGGTAAAGTCTGGGCCTGGCTTTCCCAAGTGGTCTGCCACTGCAGGCAGAAGTGCAGCCGGCCTGCTTCTAGTTCTGATGTCTTATGCTGCCAGGCCCTCTCTGCTGAGGAAATGGGACTTCTTACAAGAGCCACTGACAAGTTATATGCCAGACTCCTCCTGAAGGACTCAAATACATGTCAAAGTGCTCTACGTTCTTTGTTTGGTTTCCTTTTGGAGGCCCGTTGGCCTGCCATATATGTGCAATACCTGGCCCGGATTATCTCCCCTCTGGGTAAGAAGGCTTGTGAACCAAGGTCTTTTACACGAACCTTGGGAGAGGCCAGGGAGCAAGGAACCGCTCTTACAACCAGCCTGCCTGACAGGACCCTTGGAGTACCCACCCATTTTTGGACAGAAATCCAGGAGTTTTCTGTCAAGGTGTGGCATTGAACAGCTAAGGAGAGCAGTCTGGTCTTGTGCAGAAATGCCAGCACTATGCCAGATGTGGTGGAGTCCCTGGACATATGCAAGAGCCATTGGTGGCTGGAGAGATGGCCCAGTGGTTAAAAGCATGCACTGCTCTTGCAGAGGTCCAGAGCCCAGTTCCCAGCACTTACCTATAACTAGTTCTGGGTGATGAAGTGCTCTTTCCTGGCTTCCATGCCACTTGCACCCACACTGCACATAGCTGAAACACAGATACACATATAATTTAAAAGTAAAAATCAATCTTTTTTTCTTATTTGTTTATTTGAGATGGGTTTTCTCTGTGTTGCCCTGACTATCCTGGAACCTGTAGACCAGGTTGTCCTTGAACTCAGAAATCAGCCTGCCTTTGCTTCCCTAGTGCCGGGATAAAAGGCGTGTACCACTACAACCAGCACCCCTTTATAAAATTTAAACTACCATTATCTCCTCTAGATAGAACCCTGCCAGGAGGGGTGGGAGGAAGGATGGGTACCATCTGGGAACCCCCCTCAGAGTGGGGTCTGTGACAGGTTGCTGTGCATGTCTTCTTCAGGAAACACTATTTTTCTTGGGAAAACACTGGAATATTTTGCATTGACTCTGCACAACCCCCTTAGTTTCTACTTCAGTAGCACAGAGACCTTGGCTTGGTGTTGAGGACATGAGGAACCCCACATTTCTTCCCAGTGTTTGTGGACTGCTTACATGTGGTACTGTTGAATGCTGAGTTGGAGGCCCCCTCTGGCCACACCAATACAGGGAGGGTAGTTTAGTGGCAGAGTGCTTGCTTAGCCTTTGATGAGGAAGCAGGTGTCTAGGACACATGTCCAGTTGGCCAGTGTGGCCAGGAGAATAGACAGGTATGGCAGTTTTAACCAACATAAGACAGTTTCAAGTAATGTAATCAGCATCAGTGGCAGCTTCAGACTGACTTCACTCCCCATAAGCACGCTCCATACCTGCCCTGCTTCTCCAAACTCTGCCTGTTCTGCCACCTCTAGTCAAGTCCCCACCTGCTTTTTGGGACTCTGCAAAAAGTCTCAGCAGACTCTCATTCCTCTCCCCCAACATACCCTCTTGGTGCACCCAAACCATCTCCCAACTCCTGAGTCACTCTCACCCTGTTTCCCCATGACCCTGTCCGTAACACAATTTGTGCCAATTCTGGAATATTCTCTTGACTCTAAGGAGAATTTCTGTCAAATCCCACTCTGGTGGACGTTAACCATCCACTTCAGTTCTCCCCTATGTTCATACCCTATCCAGGCAAGGGCATCTTGCTGGTTCTGTTTGCCCATGCCCACACTGTGCATCTCTGCAGTCAGGGCTGGGTGGCATGGCAGCAATGCTCTCGCTCTGTTTTCTCCATCAGCATTTAAACAGCTGGGAATCCAGAGAGCACAGCTGGCACCATGCCCAGGATGGTGCCGTGTCAGCCAGCAGTTTCAAGGTAACTCCACCTGCCCTGCACTTATGAAGGCACACTTTGGTGTCCTGCTTCACAGCCCCTTGCTAAGACTCACTCTTGGTCATACCTGAACCTTGCTGATGTTGGAGGTGTAACCCATACAGGCCCAGCAGGAGCCACACTCCAGCCTCTTGCTGCTTTGGAGGGTAATGCTCCACTCACCCAAAACACATAGAATGGAATGATCGTGTGAACAACTGGGAAGCAACTCACTGTAGCTAGGCCAAAGACATTCAATTGCATTCTCCACGTTTATTTCCATCAATATCATCCACTTCCAAAGAATAGTAAGGGGGCCAACAAGATGATTCATCAAGGAGCGGGGCTTGTCACCAAGCCTGATAACCTAAGTGCAGTCCTTGGTACCCACATGTTGTCTTCTGAACCCCTAGTCTTCTTCATGACATGTTTTCCCTACGCCCCCCACAAATAAATATATGTAATTTTTTTTTTAAAAAAAGCAAGAAACAGTTCTATTTGCTCAGCCTAGTCTGCTGTCAAGGCTTCAGGTGAACTGAGACCCTTAGGTCTCTCAGGACACCTGGCTGCTACCATGCCCTGGGTGCCAGACGGCTATCTATCTGGTCCATACCCAGGAAGAACCAACCAAAGGCTGACAGGCCCCTCTAGGAACAGTCCTGTGACCGAGCTATAGAAACCCCAACAAGAGACTTGAGAAAGCACATCTCAGACTCAAGTCTTCTGGCTATCAGTGAGTTTTCTATGACAGCAATCTAAAAATGTAAACTAAAAAATTGTTTTGGTTAGCATTTGAAACTTCAATTTAATAAGAGACTTGCACTTTGTATGAGGAATTCAGAATTCACAGAAACTGATTGGCAACCTTGAATTTTAAGTACAGATTTTTACTGATCTAAGAGCACAAACACTGACATTTAAAGATCAAGGTATCTGCCACCATTTGATGTGGGATTGCGGCCTGTATCTCATTGCGCCCATGGCACTTGGAATGAAGAGTCAAGGGGTGTGGCAGGGTGAGCAAGGCTGAGGTAAGCTTGCACAGCAGAGGCAGTGGCGGAGGAGGGCAGCAGCGGGACAGGAGGGCTAGTGAGAGGCAGACAGGAGACAGATGCTCCGTCTCTCTGCAGACCACCCTGCCTCCATTGGACGGAAAACTGACAGTGACAGGGTTAGAGATGCAGACCTGGAGGAAGAGGGGAACAGCAGAGCCAGGGAATCCCCTTTTCTAGACCGCCTTTCCCAACAAAGCCTCTCGTCACTATGCTGGGTCCCTGTACCTGAGGAAAAAGCCTACTTGGAGCAAAATCGTTGAAAAGCAAGAGGAACGCAAAGAAGAGCTGCATCCGACCATTCACAACGACAGATTTATAGGCAGAAACGTAGCACTCATTTCGGTTCAGTTGTTCTTTGCAGCAGACCTTACACTTTCCACATAGGACAAGTACTCGGCAATAATGACTTCTTCGTCCTCCAGAGTTGAGTCCAGGTAGTCCTCCTCATGCTCTGGAATGTCCTCCAGGATTTCGTTGACAGCCTCTGTCTCCATGTCTTCATCTGTGGAGGCACTAGAGGTCCCTGCAATGAAAATACCACAGGGATAAGCAGATCACAGGAGGAGAGGTAACCCTGACAGTGCCTTTGGTTAGCCTCTGCCTTAGTCTCACAGCTGCTGTTAGCTCAAACTTGGCAGAGTGCAGCTATCTATCAGTAAGGCACCCATACGTCAGACCTACCTGCAGAGTCAGACGGGGATGTGGACGCTGTGGAGGAGGAGTCCTCTCCTGAGAACTGCAGGTCTGGAGGAAGGCTTCCTCCATGGTGCGCAAGGGTCTGAGCTGCAACCTGGACATTGCCTCCAAATACCCTTAGCGCCGCTTCAGCCACCACTGTGTCAAAACCCATGTACACCAGCTAGGAGAGATCATAGGGTTAGGACTTTGAGTTCAGCGCACACTGCCATGTGAACCACCACATCCATGTTCTTGTCACCTCACAGACAGGACAACCTTGCTTCCTAGGTAAGTATAATCACAGAACGCTGCATTCATCCTCTTCAGTCCCAGAAGATGCCAGTACCAAAGGTTAAGTGGCCACAATATGTGTGACACGCTAAAGTGCAGTCTAAGTGTGGACGAAGACTCATGAGGCTCAAGGTGGGCTGAGTTTCACGGGATACAGTGACATCCTCTTAGGTCCCAGGCAGAGAAACAGGACTGATGTTAGCAGTGGAACATGGGAAGGGGCAACTGAGAAATGAAGGCAAAGGGTACCTCCTGCTGCAGGCCCTCTTGCTGTTTTTAGGGGACAGAATCTCACTATATAGCCCTGGCCTAGAACTTAGTATGTAGACCAGGTTTTGAATTCAGGCTGGCCTCTCTCTAGGTGCTGGGACCAAAGGTCCATACCCATTCCCTTTCCTTTCTACAGAAGTGCCTCACTCGAACCCTCTACCCACATCCGCCCCACTACAGGGATGGCGGGTCCTGCCTGAAGCCTAAAAGCAGACACATGCCATCCTGCCACCATCCTACTCATCCCAGTCAGCCCTGACCATGGAAGGCGCAGCGCCTGTCACTCACTTGATCAATGCTTTCCTGGGAAGGACTTGCTTGATGGCTGCTGTTTTCAGAGTCTGAGTCCTGTAACCACCACATGTGGGGGTTACTGAGGAGAATCTGAAAGCACAGGGACACCCTTCATTCCGCAGACTGTCTCCTACATGCAGCTCAGCAGCTCTGAGCTGTCCATAGCGAGACAATGAGTGTAGGATGTCACCGCTGGCTGTGCAGAGAGTACCTTGAAGCAGGAAAGGGAACTGGCTGGCTAGAATCCAGGGACACCCCCCCCCGCCCCGCCAGTACTAGCATGTGCCCCACCACATCTAGCATTTAACTTGGGCCCTGGGGCTCAAACTCAGGTCCTCATGCAAGACAAGTCCTTTCTGACTGACCTCTCCCCAGCTTCGTGACCTACCGAAACTAACTGTTCAAGCTCACTGGGTTCTTCAGATGGCTAGAATTTAATGTGCTTTTCATGTTTGCCTAACACAGAAATCTCAAGTTCCATAGTCAAATTACATTCTCATTTTTAGTTACATACAAATTGGGCATGCTGGCATACACCTTTAACCCCAGTGCTCAGGAGGCAGAGGCAGGCGTATTTCTTGAGTTAGATGCCAGTCTGGTCTCCATACCAAGTTCCAGGACAGCCAGGGCTACACAGTGAGAGCCTGTTAAAAAAATAAAACAGACACACAAAGCAGAGGATGGGGAAAAGATGGGTGCATGTGCAACTCCATCTACACAAAGATACAGGAAATGCACAAGAAGGCTGTGGAAACAGCCTGGAGGCAGACCAGTGGGGTGCAGCCAGCAGCTCAGACTGAAGCCTGGAAGCACTACCTTCAGGGCATCGTCCAGGTTGCCTCTGGCCTGGTGAAGGGCCTGTTTGGCAGCATGTGTGGAGTAGCCCATTCCTTTCAAAGACTTGATATTTTCTAGGCGGCGTCTCCTCTTCTCCTTCTCCTCCTTCCTTATTTGGGCCAGTTCCTTTAGGAAAACAAGTCCTTCTGGGTTAGGATTGGATGCAGCGCAGGAATCTGAGGCTCTGTTCTTCAGGGTGTCTCAAGGTCTCTGGGTTGGTGAACAACTAAGCAAAAAGGGATTCCTACCTATCCTTGAAAGAAAAGAGGCAAAGGGCACAGGGATAGGGTTAGGGGCTGGGCTCTGAGATCAGGAGTGGAAACACAGCATCAGCCCAGCACCTCATGAACCAAGCATCCAGCATAAGAATGGGCAGGTCTTATGTGCTGAGGTGTTGGAGGCTCCCACAGGTAAGCAGCTACAATACCATGGCAGAAGAGTTTCTCCTGCTCCTTCTGTGGCCCACGAACTGCTATGCTTCAGGGTTACCTTGGGAAATGGGATCCATACAAGAGTGTCTGGCTGGAAAGCCCTAGGAGACTATGCCAGCTTTGAGAGAAGACTGACAGCAAATCCCAGCTTGCTCTGGACTTCAGGTTCTCTGCTATACAACTAACTGGGTGTGACAAGGTCCCTTCCTTCCAACACTAACTAGAATTCTGAATCTCTTTTGTGAGCTTGTTATAAATGACTGCAGCTTTAAGACCTCGTTTCTTTGATAGATCAGAGACCTCAACATAAATCCAACCACACTGAACTTTATAGAAGAGAAAGTGGGAAGTATATTTGAACGCATTGGCACAGGAGACCACTTCCTAAATATAACCCCAGCAGCACAGACACTGAGAGAAACAATTAATAAGTGGGACCCCATAAAACTGAAAAGCTTCTGTAAAGCAAATGACATGGTCAACAAGACAAAATGGAAGCCAACAGAATGGGAAAAGATCTTCATTATTAACCCCACATGAGACAGAGGTCTGATCTCCAAAATATACAAAGAACTGAAGAAATTGGTCACCAAAAGAACAAATAATCCAATAAAAAAAATGGAGTACAAAAAAAAAAAGCAGAGAACTCTCAACAGAGGAATCTAAAACGGCTGAAAGACACTTAAGGAAATGTTCAACATCCTTAGTCATCAAAGAAATGCAAATCAAAACAACTCTGAGATTCCATCTTACACCTGTAAGAATGGCCAAGATCAAAAACACTGATGACAACTTATGCTGGAGAGGTTCTGGGGAAAAGGGAATACTTCTGCATTGTTGGTGGGAATGCAAGCTGGTACAGCCCCCTTTGAATGTCAGTGTGGCAATTTCTCAGAAAATTAGGAAACAACCTTCCTCAAGACCCAGTAATACCACTGTTGGGTATATACCCAAAGGATGCTCAATCATGCCACAAGGACATGTGCTGAACTATGTTCATAGCATAGTTTATCATATGACAGCTTTGTTTGTCATAGCCAGAACCTGGAAACAACCTAAATGCCGCTCAGTCAAAGAATGGATAAGAAAAATGTGGTACATTTACACAATGGAGTACCACACAGTAGGAAAAAATGACAGCTTGAATTTTGCAGGAAAATGGATGGAGCTAGAAAACATTTTGAGTGAGGTAACCCAGACACAGAAAGACAATTATCACATGTACTCACTCATAGGTGGTTTTTAGACATAAAGCAAAGAAAGCCAGCCTACAAATACAATCCCAGAGAACTTAGACAACAATGAGGACACTAAGAGAGATTTAGATCTAATCTACACGGCAAGTAGAAAAAGACAAGATCTTCTGAGTAAATTGGAAGCATGGGGACCTTGGAGGAGGATTGAAGAAGAGGGGGAGAGGCAGGGAAGGGAGCAGAGAAAATTGTGGAGCTCAATTTAAAAAAATCAATTAAAAAAAAAAAAGACCTCGTTATCCAAAACTAGCATCGTGGCCTCACAGACTGTTTGTAGTTGCCTTTGAAATAATATCCAGAAATACAATATGGTATCAAGTGAGATCCTGAGAGAAGCCTGCTGGTTTAATTAGCCACTGTGACAGGAAGCTGCCCTGGTACAAAACTGATGTGATTAAGACAATCTGGTGGGGAAGCAGCCCTGCTGACAGACGCTTGCCCAGCATTTTGAAGTTCTAGGTTTCATCCCCAGCATTGCAGAAACTGTGTGTGGAGAATGCCCATACTCCTAGCCCTCAGTTACTACTGGCAAGGAGCATCAGCAGTCCAAGGTTACCGTTGGGTTTACAGCAAGTTTGAGAGCAACCTGGATTATATGAACTCCTGTCTCAAATAAACAAAAGGGAAGGCAATGTGTTCCTGATCTCCTGATCTGGAGTCCCTTCTCGTTCAAATGTCTTCTGGCATTTTCTCTGGTCTTTTCCTACCCCGTTCAGAAAAGAAGCTGTACTGTCTTTGTTTCTTAACCTTTTCAAAGGGTCCGAGCCTCACAGGTGCTGAAGAGAGAAGTGAAAACTTACCTCTCTGCGGTTGGAAATATGAATGGCTGCATGGTCCACGTTTCCATCACAAGCCCGCAGGCCGAGCCGAGCTTCCTGGGCAGTGAACCCCAACTGCAGCAAGTTGTGAACTTTTGATGGATCAATGTACAGCTCTTTAAAGAGCTGGCGCGCCTACAAACAAACAGGAAGCAACTGAAGACTCACACAATAGTAGCAACAAAGCTTAGCAATGCTAAACCAGAAGTGAGGCCACAACGGGAATTACTGCATGTGTGATTCTGACTGAAGGGAGCTTGTCTAACCAACAGGAACGAAAACAGACAACACCATCTCTGCCTGCACAACCTACAATATAGCATAACCAGACAGGCTGAGTGTTGTAGGAGGGTCTGAGCAACTGTAACACATTCCTTGAGTTCAGCTGGCTGTAGTGGTGATGCCTGTAATCCCAGCAATCAGAAGGTGAAGGCCATCTGGGCCGCACAGCATAGCCTATCTCAAAACAAAGAGGGAAAAAATTCAAGGACCTGAGCTATACACAGCATCTATTGCTCTCCCTTTTAGCTGTGTTGCTTGGTGGTCTTGATGTCAACTGCACACAGTCTCTTCTTCATGTAAAGGTCTGCTCTGACTCCCTGGTCCTTGCACCAGCAGGAACAAGGCCTGTCCTGCTCACCTCAAGATGCTAGACAGCAGGACAGAAACTTTACCCAATAAAGCCACTGCCATTTTGAAATGTCCTTATTGCAGCATCTTGCCTGAACCCTCCCAGATACAAGTGTTGACACTGTGTGTCGGAGAGGATGGGAGGGAGGTGCAGGGCCCTGAAGGGTCAGTCTGAGCACGACCACAGAGCACTCCACTGCCAACTCACAGGGGCACAGGTGAGGGCAGACTCAGCAGCCTTACTTACCTTGTTGAGATATTCTCGAGCCTCCTCTCCATTTCCACTATGATAGTTCCGAATCCCCTGAAGCAGGTAGAGTCTTAAAAACAACACTTTTTCTTTCCCACAATTCCCCTAGAGTTGTTGGGAGAAAAAGGAATAAGCTAATTTCTAATTTAAGGGTAGCACTCTCACTGCTCTAACTGTCCTATGTCTCCACAGGAACAAAGTGACAGCACCAGACTGTCCAAGACATCATGACTGTCAGTGTGAAGATTCCCAAGCAGTGCCGCTTCCACATGAAAGGAACCAGTCAGACACCTATCTCCAACCACCATAGGCCATGAATAAATCATAGACAGATTCTCTCCTGCTCAGGGTGACTAAGAGTAGGAGTTTGTGAAAACCAGCATAGACACAGCAAGACTAAGTTGCACAAGTGGTGTGTACCTGTAATCCAAGTACTCTGGAGGCTGAAGCAAGAGGATTAGGAGTTCAGGGACAGCCTGGGCTACATGAAACTGTCTCACACAAAACCAATTAAATAAAATAAAACGTAGCCAGACTCATGAAACCAAGCCTTGGTTTACAAAGAGGGCATTTTATACTGCTGCCCAGATGGATTACTGTTGGCAGCAGTTCCACATCTGGACAAGAGTAGTTATGCCCTGAAGTAGATTCAGAAAGTCAATCACAGCCGGGCAGTGGTGGCACACGCCTTTAATCCCAGCACTCGGGAGGCAGAGGCAGGCGGATTTCTATGAGTTTGAGACCAACCTGGTCTATAAGAGTCAGTTCCAGGACAGAATCCAAAGCTACAGAGAAAAAAAAAATAACAATTCCGTACTTTTATGTGGACCAGTCTCTGGTGATTTTCTCCATAACAGTTTTTAAAGCACTTCTGGGCCAAGTTCAGCTTCTTCTCTGCATCGTCCAGGCACTCCAGTTGTTCCAGGCGGAAGTAGCACCACACAATGTCCAGCTGGAGAACCGCGTAGTTGTCCACAGTGTCCAGCAGCTCTTTGCACTCACTAGGAGAAGAAAGCTGTCAATGTGGAGCCCTCCAGTCGTTTTGTGGTCCCCAGAAAGCTCTTCAGCTCTTGCTGCATTTGTAGGATTAACTAATGGGGCATTTATTTAAAATAATAAAATTTTGAAGGGATAAATAAAGAGAAATCAGGATTCTCAACAGCAGCATGGTGGCATTCCAGCCCTGGCTATGAATTACAATCACCACGACACAGGAGTCTTTTTCTTTGAGAGGACCCAACTAGGGAAACAGTAGCAAGGTTCTCCATGCCAGGAGAGTACAAGTAATGTGTAAAGAGAATTAGCTTCAAGAATGATAACCTAAACTTAAGTGTCTTTTTTCAATAAAAGTTGGTTAAGAGGTCATTTGTTTTATTATTGTTTTTTAGCAAGTACACTGTCATGTGCCTTGGCATAGTTCTCAACGCCTTCTCCCATCTCTCACAAATCTCTATTATGTCATACAGGAAGATTTCTACTGCCCTTCATCACAATTACTATTCTTTTCCTCCACAATGAGGAGATGAATAGTTCAGTTCCTCAGCCACACATCTGCACCACAAAGCAGCAGAGACAGGGACATGGCAAAGTAATGGGGCCAACTGGTTACAGGCTAAACCTTGACATGAGCCAGTAAACCTTGCTCTTTGAAAGTGGATCACCATGCACATTTGTGACCACAAAGGAAAGATGACTCCATACTTTAAAGGCACTGAGAGCATTTATTACACCTGATACTTAGGATGTATTGATGTAGCATGAACTGGTGATGATAACTGATGTGGTTGTTTTTTTATGAGGATTTGAGATCTGAAAATCATTTAATTTATTTGTCCAGGGAGAACAGGTTAAAAAGAGCTCACAAAGAATCAAGACTACTTCTTGCCACCCACTAAAGCAGACTATGAGCCTGTGTAAGTTCACTGTGGCAGTCTCCCCTGCACACATATTTAAAATCTTCTCTACTAACAAGGTAGGAACAAGTATACAAAGATGTGAAAACTTTTCTTCGATTTTAAGGACTTGGCTTAGAGTCTGCAGTGTTTGCTTCAGAAGAGAAGAAGCAAACAAAGCAGCAGAGACAAAAAGGGACATACATGGCAAGACCCTGACCCCAGACAACCTTCTCACTTTTCCCAGCCTTGCTCCATTTCCTTCAAACATCTGGGACAATAAATCTCTTCTTTGTAATAAGCTAGCTTGAGGTTTATACATTTAAGACCCAACAGCACTGACCTCTGCAGCTGGAAAACTATCATAAACAGAAAAAATGTACTCATTTCCTGACATATAGATGATTGTCATGGGAATTAACAAAATACAAAGTTCACATATAGGCTGTTTACTCTTGACCATTTCCCAGAACCAAGTCTGTACCAAGTGTCCAACATGCCCAAATTAACATTCTCTAAGTACTATTTCCACAGACAGGAACTAGGAACCCTGGGAAACTACAGAAACTACCAGCACCAGGTCAAAAGGGCACCAGGGTCAGTCAAAGATGGAGACACTAAGAACACATGTATGAAGCACATCAGATCAGATGTGCTAAAGCCCATGTTAAAAACATGTGTGTATGCATAGCTATATATATATCCCCCTGAAAACAAGAGCTTGTAGAGATGCCCAGGCTGGCCTACAACTTGTGCCTCAACCTCAAGTGCTGAGAGAGTGGAATTCACTCTGGGCTTCACCAGTTAATACTGATGAAGGAAAAAAAGCGAACTTCAGTTTGGTTACCTTTGAGAAGCCAACTAAATCTGAAAACTAGGAAGTAAGATAAAAGGAGCCAGGCATTGCTTTCTTCCTGTGAACACTGCACCTCAGCATAACTGACAGTTCATGAGACAGCAATCCGGCAGTGACTGCAGAGGAGTGACACTGTCAAATGTGCAGTGTGCAGTGCGATGTGTGGTTCAGAACCATCACCATCTGCACCGATACCACTCCCAAGAAGAGGCGGAGCCATGTGATGGACAGCTCTAGTGGCAGCACACTGGGGAGCTGCCTACATATGAGGGTACATATGAGGAGAGCCTACATATGAGGGTAAAAATAAATGGAATTAGAAATACAAAGGAGGGTTGGGTGTGGTGGCGTGTGCCTTTAATCCCAGTACCAGAGGCAGGCAGATCTGAGTTCAAGGCCAGCCTGGTCTATAGAGTGAGATCAAGGACAGCCAGGGCTGTTACACAGAGAAACCCTGTCTTGAAAGAAAAAAAAAGAAAATACAAAGGAGGAAACAACCACAAACTGATATGTGCCTTATGTCCTCACTCCCAGAAACTACCGTGGAGTGAAAATCAGTCTGAAGTTATAGGTAGGAGGGTGTTGGAGCTTCCCCTACTGTAGTATCGGCTGAATACAAAAGTACCTACCAGAAATACCTGTCAGCATCCAGAAGGCACGGCAAGGCTATTCCATACTCTTTCCTCTTCAGGAAAGCTCTGCCCTTCTCATGGTATCCCATAGCTAACATAAGGGCCTAGGAAAGAATTGAAATTCTAAAAACAGCTTTCAAATAAAATTAGAAAAGCATTAATAAAACAAATTAAGAAGCATATTAACACTAATGAAAAACAAGACAGAAAATAACTCAATCTAAAAAGCCAAATTATTATAATTAGAGTTTTCTCTCATTGAAGCAACAAAGCCAAATTCTCAAGTCAACGTGGCTGGTGTCCTGAGTAGCATCAACCTCTCACTTTTATCAGATTTTTTACCCACGTGCTGGTCTAGATCTGGTTCTAATTTTCTACACGCCTAGAGAGGACGAGCAGCCTCCTAAGAAGTGTGCAGGTTTGGTAGTGTGGGCCTGTGAGACGCTGGAAGGAGGACTGTGAGGTGGAGGCCAGCCTGGGCTACATAGCAAGAATGTCCAAATAAGTAACTGAGTATATCAAACACTCATTTTTGGTTGTGGCTTTGTTTTTGGTTTGGGGCTCTTACTATCACGACGCTCCTGTGTCAGTCTCCCATCCTCCACCCTCACAAGCAGTTTTCACCACACACTGAGATGTTTGACAATGCGAGCATTTCCAAGACAACTTTTTTTTCACATTTATTTGTGTGTGTGTGTGTATGTGTGTGTGTGTGTGTATACATTTATGCCACAGCACACGTGTGGAGGTTGCAGGCAGCTTTCAGGATTCTTCTTACCATGCACGTTCCTGAGATGGAACTTGGGTTGTTATGTTCAACAGCAAGTGCCTTGGCCTGCTAAACCATCTTGCTGACCCTCCAAATCCATTCACAGAAGGTTATAATGGCTTAGACTGTATACTAAATGAAGGTTGGGCTCCCAGCCTCCCCTGTTGTTGGGATTACAGGCTTGTACCACCATCATGTCCATCTTACAACCTCATTTTATTATTTTGTTTTAATTATTTTTTATTTATTGGGTGTGCATGTCTATATATACAGGTACAGCTATACCACAGTGCTTGTGAATGCAAGAGGACAGCTTGTGGGAGTCACTTCTCTCCTTCCACCATGTGGATTCTGATAGAATTCAGGCCAGCAGGCTTAGCAGCAAGAACCTTCACCTGCTGAGCCATCCCTCCAGTCCCTTGAGACAAGGTTTCTCTGTGTAACCCTGGCTGCCCTGGAACTTGCTCTGTACAGCAGACTGGACTTGAACTCAAGAGACAGATCCTCCTGCCTCCTGAGTGCTGGGACTGGAGGTATGTACCACCACCGCTCAGCTCTTAATTCCTTTTTTTTTATTGTTTTGTTTTTCAAGACAGGGTTTCTCTGTAGCTTTTGGAACTAACTCTTGTAGACCAGGCTGGTCTCGAATTTACAAAGTTCTGCCTGCCTCTGTCTCCCAAGTGTTGGGATTAAAGGCATGTGCCACTATAGCCCGGCCCAGCTCTTAATTCTTAACTTTAAGCAGAATAATTGTGAAGCCTACCCCAAATTGCCATTTAAATATCAAAAAGATACCGAACTAAACAAAACCCTCAAATAAACTTGATTCCTAATCAGAAATCTTCATTCTAAGAAGCCTCTGGGGCCTGACTCCGCCCTCTGTTCTGACAGCCCAGCCAGCCTCCCAGCCCATACTTACTTTCCTTTCGGCAGGAGGAATTCTGATTGACCTGCCTGTCTGGTTTGCAATGTCTAAGTAAGGCATGGTTTCCGGATCTACCATCTCAGCTGCAACAAAACCATAGGAGTTTTAATTCAGGGTTGAAGAGCAGTGAAAGACAACACTTGAGACGCTATACTGTGGAGAGGAACGCCACAAGAGGCATGGTACTCTGTGAGCTCCCTTGTTGTATCTGAGGGAGGTGACAAACCAAAATTCTGTGTACCTCTCTCTGCCAGAATCTCCAGTCCCCTTTTGGTCCTCTGAATGCGTTTCTCCTTTAGTTCCGCCTCATTCTGTTCCTCTTCCTCTACCTGGAAGTTTTTCCTCACATCCTCTTCAGACTGTTTCAGTTCTAGCACCATGGCCTTTACATTGTGAGTCACTCCTTGTTCTTCAAGGCTTTTCCCTGGGAACAGAATTGCCTGTCACACAAACTTCCTGGGTAACAGTCCATTTCTTACGGTAAATGGAGTCCTTTTTTTATTAATTTATTTTTGAGTGTGTGTGTGCATACATGTATGTCCATGTGTGCACATGCCTGTAGACAACTTGCAGGAGCCACTTTTCTGCTTCTACCATGTGGGATCCAAGGACCAAACTCAAATCATCAGGCTCTGCAACCAATGTTGCTTATTCACCAGGCCACTTCATCAGCCTGAAAAACGGAATTCTAAAACCTGCATTTACACTTGCAGAGAGAGCAGTGGGTCACATTCCCTCTTTCCTGTTTTCTTTCTCTTTACCCTAAGGCCATACTGAAGTAACAAATATTTCAGAGCACTATGCCAGGCAGCATAAAAGGTAAACAAAAGTACAATCAGTACACAAACTTTGCTAGTCTCTAGTAGAGGCATAACTAACTCAAGAAGCCACCGCGCAGCAGACAGCGAGACCAGCTCTGGCTATGGTGAAAAGCAGAGGACACAGGCGCCTGCTTTCTACCCCATGGACCTAACTCAGCTTCTGCTTTCTTTCTAGGACAGTTTTCTCCTCTACTCCCTCCTTACCTCCCTCCCTCTCTCTCTTTTTTTTTTTTTTTTAATTTTCGAGACAGGGTTTCTCTGTAGTTTTTGGTGCCTGTCCTGGAACTAGTTCTTGTAGACCAGGCTGGCCTCGAACTCACAGAGATCTGCCTGCCTCTGCCTCCCAAGTGCTGGAATTAAAGGTGTGCACCACCACCGCCTGGCCAGTTTCCTCTTTTAACAAGTAGAAACAAAAACAGGCACTGAAGCCCATGGAACAGAACAAGGGGGAGTGGCCAGTCCAGTGAAGAGGCTAGCCAACACGACAGACAAACCTAGTAAAAATGATATTGAGGGCAGAGGTGGCTCAGTGGTTAAGAGCATTGGCTGCTCTTCCAGAGGTCGTACGTTCAGTTTCCAGCAACCACATGGGTGGCCCACAACCATCTATAATGAGATCTGGTGCCCTCTTCTGGGCTGTAGACCTACAGGAGGGCAGAGAACTCATAAATAAACCTTTCCCTCCAGTGTCACTTCTAACAGCTGCTGGTGCTGCTGTCTTAAGAGGGCTCTATCCTTTCTGCATTTTGTTCCCTGCACTATTCTACAGTGTCACCCCTTCCTATGTTTCTTTTTTAGAAATGACAACATTCTAATATTCAAATCCAGAAATCAAGATCCACCTGGAGAAAAGAGGTGGCAAGAAGAGAAAATCACCTAACTAAATTTTGTTGTTTGGTTTGTTTGCTTGTTTTCAAGACAGGGTTTGTATAGCCTTGGCTGTCCTGGAACTTACTCTGTAGACAAACTGGTTTAGAACTCAGAGATCTGCCTGCCTCTGACTCACAAGTGCTGAAATTAAAGGCATGCATCACCACTACCCAGCCCATCTGATTAGATTTTATGATTAGGGTGGGTGTGAAGGTCACATATCATTGTGAATTCATTAAAAGCTTCTCCACATTATTCAATTTTTAAAAAATATCTATTTATTTATTTATTATGTATATAATATTATGTCTGTGTGTATGCCTGCAGGCCAGAAGAGGGCACCAGACCCCATTACAGATGGTTGTGAGCCACCATGTGGTTGCTGGGAATTGAACTCAGGACCTTTGGAAGAGCAGGCAATGCTCTTAACCTCTGAGCCATCTCTCCAGCCCCCTCAAATTTTTTTTTTTTTACTTATTTTACTTGGTATGTATGAATAGTTTGCCTGCATGCATGTAGGTATACCACAGGTGTGTCATTGGATCTTCTGGAACTAGGGTTACTGATGACTGGGAGTCACCATATAAGTGCTAGGACTAGAAATTGGGTCCTCTGCAAGAGTAATTAAGTGCTCTTAACCTCTGACCCACCACTCCAGTTCCTCCATATTCTTTTCTGAGGCAGGGTCTCCTGCTGAACCTGAAGTCCACTGTTTCAGTTAAGCTGACTAACGAAAGAGTCCTGGGATTTACCCATCTCTTTCTCATGGCACTGGAGTTGCAGAAGTGTGCCACCAAACCCAACATGCATGAGTGCTAGAGACCCAAACTCAGGTCCTAAACAACAAGTATTTCACCCACTAAGCCATCACCCAGCCCCGAATGGATTTTAAGATTACAAAACAAACAAAAATTAAAAAACAAAACAAAAAAATCACAAGAAGAGGAACACTGTAGAAGAGTGCAGAGAGCAAGGGCAAGAAGGACGGAGCCCTCTTAAGACAGCAGCACCAGTTGTTAGCAGTGACACTGGAGAGAAGCCAAGCTGATCCTCAGCCGTTGGGGATGAAGGAAGATGTCAGTGTTCAAGTGGAGAATACCCTTGTGGTCCTGGGTTTGGGAAGAGCTTCCTCAACAAACACAAAATGTAAGGCAATGGTTTGGGCAGCATTAAAATTAAAAATTTCTGTCCAGTTATGAGCAGAACACAAAGATGGGGTGTCAACGGAAAGGCAGCTGTGACATGTGAGGACACAAGAGAAACAGCTGGGATGCTGAAAGACTATGAAAGGCTGTTTAGAAACATGAAACCTAGTCGGGTGGTGGTGGTGCACACCTTTAATCCCAGTACTTGGGAGGCAGAAACAGGTAGATCTCTGAGTTAGAGGCCAGCCTGGACTACAGAGCGAGTTCCAGGACAGTCAGGGCTACACAGAGAAATTCTGCCTTGAAAAGCCCAAAACAAACAAACAAACAAACAAAAACCAAAGAAAATGGAGGGAGGGAGAGAGAGAGAAAAGAAAGGAAGACAGACAGACAGACAGAAAAGTAGATGAAGCTCAGGTTCTTGAGGCTCCAGGAACCCTCCCTAGAGACCCATGAAACTTGATGCTGAAGAGCTCATGTCTCTCTGGTTCCACTCATGCCTGCTGCAGACTGTGGCCACTGTGTCAGCCACTGTAGTTCACTCTGTAGCACAGTACCTCCCTTCTGAGGACAAACTCCATACTGAACAAGGCTCATTTTCACAGGCTTCCCAGCAGCATTCAACATCTTGGGCAGAAGTCTGTGATGTGGGGCTTTTGTGGGGGCTGCCTTGTATTCAGCAGCAACCGATTCTGACTCAGTAAATGATAAACATGCAGCCCCCAACTAATTATAACCAAAACTGTCTCCTCACGAAGTCAGTGCTCCCCTGGGTGGTGAAAATTTCCCTGGCTGAGTTCACTGCTAGAAGACTCACGGGGCTCATTTGCTCTCCACCCCGCACTCAGTTCCCTTGGCTGTAAGCAGAGCGCTCCAACGTGGCCTTGTCCATCTGTCTCTCTCAGGGTCAGCTTTCTCCCCATAGAGAGAACTATGAGTAACCCAGATCCTCCCCTCAGCACACACTTCCATTCTGGAACATCTTACGTGACTGAATGAACATCTTTCTTCCCCAATAGCCAGAGAAGGCCAATGAGTGTTTATTGGAATGTTCTTTTCTGCTTTACATTTTCATTATGGTAAACTTTCAACATAATCAACTTTGGATAATAAATGCATCAAGGCCAGGAAGTTTTCAAATAGAGGAAAAGCAAGGAAAAAAAATACCAAAAGAAAAAAAACCAAAAAACCACTACTTATACAGCTGATACCTTTTTTGCTATGACATACCTAGTTGAAGTTGTTTCTTATTTATTACGATCTTGATGTAATTTTCTTGAAATCCAAAAGTTTCAGCTATTCTATAAAATAAAAACAATATAAGCTGCAGGAAAGCAAATTTGATATCTGTTACATACTATGAAGACTTGGATCATCATGGCCACTTGCTACTTTATACCTTTTTACTCAGAAACACCAGGCTTTCTACCTCCTAGCATGATCTTACAATAAAGCTGGTACAGTGGGTTGCTGCTGGAAGCCATGCACCAAGCCCTTCCTAAACTTGTTTCTGAATTGAGGACTACAGGGCTGTCCATCTGAGCAGGAGTCAAAAACATCCTTGCCATACTATCCAGTATCCTCTCTGAGAAACCTCGAACTAGCTATCCTATACCATTGTCTACTTGTGAGCATTGAGGGAGTGATGCTTCCTCATTCTCCAGAAGGTAAAGAAACAGGACAATCAGCTGAAGAACGCGTGGGTTGGGCCTTTGCAAAAAATCAGTGCTATAAAGAATGCTCTGCTCAGTCCAAGGAAGGCTCCTGCTCCCATTCATCAGCCTTTCAGCTACAAGTTAAGCACCTCTTCTGTTGGCCCCAAGTTGCAACCCTCGGAAAGCTGGACTGCATCCAAGAAGCTCCATGAGCAGGTCTCTCACTCAGAAAGCTCTTACCTAGCAATGTGAGCCCATTCTTGTCCCACCCTTCAGGTTTCATTTCTTTAGCTGTAAGGGGAGGATGGACTGGCTCCCTAGCTTACAGGACAGCTTGGGAGCATTTAATGAACCAAGGTAAGAGGGGCAGACCTGTTGGGAGACATAGCTCAAGATACTCACTTAGATCTCAGGTCTCTACCAGTGACATGCAAGTGGGTCTCCAACAAGCTTTTCTTGTCCTGTTGCAAAGAGACAAAATGAAATGTACTTGAATGTGACACTTCTTTGAACTGCTACCCGGCATGTGACATTGTAAAGAGCTGCCAGGATATAAACTCAGGGTTCTACTTAAGGCCCAAAGCATTACCTGTACAGAGAAACATGTTGAACACAGCCCAGCATAGACTGGCAAAGTGATCTGAGTGTCCCTTTAGTGCAATAGATAGGACTGCTCAGTGGGACTCATCACATGGCCGGCCATCATCATAATCAAAGTTCATGAAATCGGAGTAATGGTTTAGTGGTAAGAGCAATACTTCTAGAGGACCTGAGCTTGCTTCCCATCATCTACTTGGGCAGCTCATACCTGATTGTAACTCCGGCCCAGAAGGTCCAATTTACTTTTGGCCTCGGTGGGAAGAGGGGATACTTTGCTTATATGCACAAGCCTAGAGACACATACTTACATATAATTAAACATAGAAATTAAACCTTAAGAGAAGGTATTTGCTGGAATCTCTGAACATTCCCACTCATCACCGTCACCAGGCACCATGCCCTACACCCCATCCCTCTTCTTCCCAGCCTTGCAACCATTTAATTTCTGTCTACAAAGTTGCCTGTTTTGGGCACTTCACAGAAGCAGAACCATAATAGCGTCAGGCCTTTTCTGCATGTTTCTGAGGCTCGTTTCATATCATAAACTATTAGTGTTGTACATCTGTACCAGCAGCTGTCTTCTGTAGTGTGGGTCTATCTGTTTATCCACACATCCACTGATGCAAGTTCGACTGTCTCTACCTTAGCAGTTACTGTGAATGCTTGCCACTCAATTTATTCTTATAATGTGTGGTGATTGTACTTGTTATCGTGGGTGTGAATGTGTGAAATCTGGAGCTGATATCAGGTATCTTGATTACTTTATTTATGCCTTTTTTTTCTTTCTTTTATCTTTTTTGGCTTTTCAAGACATGGTTTCTTGTGTAGCCCTGCTGTTCCGGAACTTGCATTGTAGACCAGGCTAGCCTTGAATCCAGGCCCTTTTTTTGTTTTGTTTTTTTTTTCTCAGTAGACTCTCTCATTGACGCGCTAGCTAATGAGCTTCAGGGATCCATCCACATCCCTTAAGCCTGTACCACCCAGGGCTAGGGTTACAGAAACCCTCACACATCTGGCTTTTTACATGGATTCTAGGAATCTGAATCTAGGTCCCCATGCTTACATGGCAGGCACTTTTACTAACATGAGCCAGCTCTCCAGGCCCACATACAAATGTTTTGTTTTTTTCTTGCCTTTAAAAACTGTGTGCATGTGTGTTATGATGGAGCAGAGGGGCTTGTGGGTGTGCCATGGCCAGAGGACAACTGTGGTATCAGCTCTCCTCTTCTGCCTGTATGTGGATACCGGGAAGTCACACGGAAGTCAGGCTTTCCAGCAAGCATTTTAACTGCTGAGTATCTCACCTGCCCATGTACAAGTCTTGAAGCACCTACTTTCACTTCTGAGAATGGTCAATATTGTTTGGTACTGAGAAGGGCTGCAAAGTGCTCCCAGAAAAATATACCGGGCATGTAGTACCTAAGGATGAGGCCCCGTGACAAGGGGGCTACACTCAGGTCAGTTCAGCCCTGTTCAGCACTCAGCTGACTTACCCTCCACCCTCCATCAGCATAGAAAATGAACTCCTGCAAGGAGTGTCCTATACATACACAGGGTTCTAAAACCTGCTGTCTTCTTTGGCTTCTTGACATTAAAGGTTTATTTCATTTCATGTTTATTTTACATGTATAGGTGTTTGCCTGCATGTATGCCTGTGCACCATGTGTGTGCAATGCCCAGTGAAGCTAGAAGAGGGCATCGGACCACCCTGTGACTGAAGTTAAAGATGGCTGTGAGCTGTACCGTGGGTGCTGAGAACTGAATCTGGGTTCTCTGGAAGAGCAGCCAGTGCTCTTAACCGCTGAACCATCTCTCCAGCCCTACTTCTCAGTATCTGTATGCATGAAACTAGAAAGGGTACAAACTTAGCACACAGCTCTGTACATGAATGAGGTTTTTTTTTTTAATTTTACTTTTAAAATGACATGTATTTATTTAGCACAGTCACACCATAGAGCATTTTAGATCATAAGACAAGTGTAGGAGTCAGCTCTCCTTCTACCACTTGGGTTCTGAAGAAATCATCCCAGTCTTTTGGCTGTTAAAGCCATCTCACTGGCCTGGTGACATTGTTTTGTTTCTCGCGTATCCTGGACTAGCCTTGAACTCACTAGGTAGCGAAGGATAACCTTGAACTCCAGGACCCTCCTGCCTCCACCCAAGAGTTGAGATGACAATGTGCACTATCATGCCCCACTTCTGTGATATTCTGAACAAGCACACCTTAAGTGTGCCAGAATAAGTCTGCATCATCCACCATTCAACACATGGAGTTCCTTAAGCACCCTACCGCAGATTTACAAAAACAGCAGTTCATTGGACATTGAGGCACACACCTCTAATCCTAGCACTTGGGAGGCAGCGGCAGGAGGATCTGTGAGTTCAAAGCCAGTCTGGTCTGGACAGCATGACCACACAGAAAGTCCCTGTCACCACAAAACCAAACCAAACAAACCAAAAACAAAGCCTGATCACAGCACTAAGCTTGTCTCCGTCACTGGGCAGTTACTTACTTTCCTGAGTCTTGGAGGCAGAAACACCTCAATTGTGGCAATCCCGGTTGTTCGGTAGTGTTCATTTCCTGTGCCACGCTCAATGGCTTTGCAACGGATTTCTTCTATTATGTTTTCCACTTCATTTTCACAGCACTCTAATCGGTCAGAGTACTTCTTAGCAAGGTCCTATGAGAAGAAACCAGAGACTGTAGCTCAGCAGAGTATCAGTGCAAAAATATTAAAGGAAAAAAATCCCCAACGCAACGTAACACTGACAAGCAGAGGCCCCCATTGTACTCAAATTTAATCTCAGCTCACAGGAAGGATTCAGGGAGAAATTAAAACTATTATTACAGATAGTAAAAACAGGCTCTGTAGGTAAAGTGAGAGCAACTGGGACTATTCCAGGGGGATAGCAAAGAGGGCTGAGACTCCTGTAACCTTAATGTATTAAGAATTACTTTAAGAAGCAGTGAACTAGAGCCCTCAAGATGGCTTAACAAGTAAAGACACCTGCAGTCAAGCCTGATGCCTTAAGTTCAATTTCTGGGTCCTACATGGTGGGAGAGAACCAAGCCCCATATTGACTTCTAACCTACACACACATACACACACACACACACGACACACACACACACACACGCAATTATTATTTTTTAAAGTTGTGTGGAGGCTGGAGAGATGGCTCAGTGGTGAAGAGCATTTGTTGCTCTTACAGAAGACCTGGGTTTGGTTCTCCACACCCACATGGTTCTTCATCACCATCTGTAACTCCTGTTCCAGGGGATCCAACATTCTTCCTCTTTCTGACTTTTAAGATTTATCTATTTATTAAACATACAATGTACTGCTGGCAAAGAAGGCACCAGGTCTCATTACGGAGGTTGTGAGCCACCATGTGGGCGCTGGGAATTGAACCCCAGTCCTCTGGAAGAGCAGCCAGTATTCTTACCCTCTGAGCCATCTCTCCAGCCCCCATCTTTCTGACTTTCAAGGGCACCAGTCACACACATGTGGTACATAAATATACATACAGTAAAAATACTCATACATGAAATAAATGTAAAAATCTTGTTAAAATAGTGAACTATTCACTGTCATTGCATGGGAAAAAAAATTAAAACAGAAAAAATATTCTAATTTCTCAAACTGTGTGAGATCAAAACAGATTAAATAACCTTTTTTATTTGGTTGTTAGGGATTTATGTGTGTGACAAAGTTGTACTCATAATGCATTTTATTTGTTTTTTGTTTGTTTGTTGAAAGAGGTTTTCTTTGTGCAACTTTGGAGCCTGTCCTGGAACTCTCTTTGTAGACTGGCTAGCCTCAAACTCAGAGATGCAGCTACCTCTGCCTCCCAAATGCTAGGATTTAAGGCATGTACCACCACTGCCCAGTCATAATACATTTTAAATAGTCATTAGAAGACAGGAAGAATATACCAACTTCAAACATGTTTACTATATTTTTAAAAATATATTCTTTGAGATAGGATTTCATATATTAGGCTGGCCTCAAATTTGCTATATAGTCATCCTTAGCTACTTAGCAAATTTGAGGCCAGCCTAGAATGACCCTGAACTGATCCTCCTGCATCTACCTCCCTGAGTGCTAAAACTGCAGGCATGCCCACCATGTCTGGTTTATAAAACTGCCTTTTTATATTACTGTACTTGAGACTACTCATGTGCTACGTAACTATACTTTGATGAATGATGGACCTCATAAGATACAATGCAACTAAAATTCCTTCCACCTAGTGATGAAGGGGCTGTTTTAAAAAAGGCTTATTTTCAATTATTTATATGTGTATATGTGCATGAACACACAGGTGCCTGTAGAGACCAGAAGGAGGCAACAGATTCCCTGAAGCTAGAGTTATGGGTAGTTGTGAATCTCCTGATGTGGGTCCTGGGAACTGAACCATGTTCTTCTGCAAGCCTCTTAACTGCAGAGCCATCTCTCCAGACCTGGAAGTGGCCATTTTAATGTACATGTCACACATCTGTGGTGATGTTGGTGTGAACAAGCCTAGTGTGCTACCAAGCAGAGTACACACACACACCTATGCACACACAGCATGTACTGTTTCATGAGAGCAAATGATTCCAAACTAGCCCTGGTTAGGTTAGTGTGTGCTCTAACTTTCCTAAAATAGTTTACTGTGTAGTGTGGAAGCCAGCAGCAACCTCAGGCTCCTTCAAGTCACTAACTAGGTGTGAGTCAAATAACATCTCAGCATACCACCCAACCACAGAGCATCCTCAGTGGTAAAGGAGATTTCTCATCTGGACCAGGAAACTGAAAAGGAAGGACGTGGCCATCCTTGCTGGCCTTATCTTCAAGGACCTTCCCACTACCTGCCAATAGTGTCACCCTGGGCATGAAGCCTTTAACAAAGTACCTTTGGAAAACATGTATGTAAACCTTGACATGTATGTGCTATTTTTAATGCCCTCTGAACTTGCTCACTATGGTGTTTTGGCTTGAGAACTAGTGAGACATAATAAAGATACTGGCCTTATCTCCAGTTCCTAGCAGAGCTAGTCAGGAGCATCTTTCATCCTAATGAGGCATGGCGGCGGCCTTAGCTTAGAGGAGGAATGGTTGCCAAAAGGAAGTCTTAATTGCAAACTTGAAGCTTTCTGTTCCACCCTCCACCCACAGGGAGGGAAAGGGATAATCATGCCTTTTATCACCAGTGGCCTGGGATTTAACCAGTCAAGCCTAAGAGCAGGCCTCCATTACAAATATGTAAATTGAAGCCGGGTGGTGGTGACACATGCCTTTAATCCCAGCACTCGGGAGGCAGAGGCAGGGGCAAGCAGATCTCAGTGAGTTTGAGGTCAACCTGGTCTACAAGGAAGAGCTAGTTCCAAGACAGCTAAAACTGTTACACAGAGAAACCCTGTCTCAAAAAAAAAAAAAAAAAACCCAAAAAAAAAAAAAAAAAAACAAAA